ATAGAAAATAAAAAAAAAAATTTTTAATAAAATTATTAAAAAAAAAAATTATATAATGACAACAGGAAATTTTACAATCGAAGATTTAGCAAAGAATCTAATTCATAAACTTGATCGTGGTAATATATTCCCACCGTATTATGACGACCCAGAAATTTTTATTGCAAAGCTTTTAGCTACAACCACTTCTTATCCCACCGTATCTTCTACGCCCACCACCGACACCAACTCGCCAACACCCACCACCCTCATAACCAAATTAAAGCCCACAACTACAATGTTTCGAAAACCAAAACGACCACAAAATGCATTTTTATTATGTAGATCAAATGAAACAGAGTTTATAGAAATGACATTAGTATTTTATTAAATGAATTGATTGATTATTAAAGTTAATGGAAAATCATGCCAATTGTAAAGAATCTCCAGAAAATTTATTTTGATTTTTTTTTAACGGATCAATGGGCAAGCTAAATTAGTTCATAGATAATAAAAAAAATATAATGTTATGTGATGGTTGGAATAAAGAGATCATTAGATTTTTTTATAATTGTAAAAATATGCATGATATAGTGTTGATATATAATTGGATTCCATATAACCAGCTTAATGATATTGAATACTTGGTTAATGGTAAAGTAAAAAATGTCGTATTGAAATTATATAATTCTAATAAAAGAAGTGATTTAGTATAATATCTATTATTATTAAATATTAAATGTTAATTCATAACAAAGTTTTTTTTCATATGGTCATCATAATAGCAGAATAGGAGATTTAGGGTTGTTAACAAATGACAAATGAAAAAGTAAAATATTGGAGTAATTCCATACTTAGCACCTGAGTATTATCAAAAAAAAAATATATACAAAAGGATCAGGCATTTACAATGTTGGTATGGAAATATGGGAGTTCACTACAGGAAAGAAACCATTCTTTTTTGTTTAATAAATAAGCACTTTTGTGGTCGGAAATTAAACAATAGGATTTAATTGTCCATTTAATTATCAAAGTGATATAGATTGAGGTTTTGATTTGGTTTTGTTTGTTTGCTTTGGTATAAAGCAAAGGTTTTACTTCACCTGTAAATTGTCTGTGATACTGTATCACAAAATTCAAAACTTAATTTCCCAGCCCAGCTTCCTATAATTAAAACCATCAACACATATAAAAATATAGTACTTTTTATCTCCCAAAGTTAGATTTATTCTAGTGTATATTATATATTATTATATTATTTATAATGAATAATAAGTGCTTTAATAATCAAAAAATGACTAACATATTTATATTAAATGTAAGAAACTAAGCTTTAGGGAGATGCCCAATATAAAAGTTACAAAAAACAAAAAGTTTATTCCACCAAATATAAAAATTTTTTTTTGGGTGAACTTGGATGCAGTTGAACAGATTTTCGTCAATTTTGTTATCTCTGCTATAATAGATTTATATACATGATCGGCGACACACAAATTTTAATTCTATTTTTATTCTAAAGACATCAAATGCTGCGCCTTTTGTCGAAAAATTTTAATATTAATGATCTTTCAGGTAAAATATTTAATTCCAACAGTAGACAAAGCAAAATGTCAGTAAATAATCAAAAAAATCACTTAAAAAAATCAAAAGGACAATAATGATACAATGTTAGCATGATATAACAATCATTTATTAATTTAATGTTCTATTTTATATCTTAAACCAGTTGTTGAATTATTAAGAAAAAATCGTTGACAAAAAAAAACTTCCAAATACTAAAAATCTCTTCCCACCGGGGCGCAGCCAAAAAAAGAGTCAAATTTTTCTAGAAAACATTAAAACAACTTCGTATAAATATTAAAAAAGACAAACCTCCAACTTCAAGAATAGTTGCGGGAAGGGAAGTGAGTCGATGAAGAAGTCAGTTTTTTGTAAGA